CCACTGCCCAGAACCGAAATAATCACACAGAAACCATATTATTTAAATCATTGCTTGGCCCATTATCTCTAGCTTCTTATTGCCTAACTCGTACATTTAACATTAATTTAACAAATTAATCTTACATTAATTTAACAGATTAATTCCTAGTAATCTGTGTATCACTACATGGCTGTGGCTTACTGGTTAAAGTTCTGTCCATCTCTTGCAGGGCTACATAGCTTCTCTCTCCACCCTTCTTTCTCCCAGCATTCAGTTTAGTTTTCCCTGCCTATCTAAGTTCTGCCCTATCAAACAGGGCAAAGCAGTTTTCTTTATTCATTAACCAATAAAAGCAACATATAGACAGAAGGACCTCCCACACCAAAAAAAAAAAAAAAAAAGCAAACAAACCTATGCTTCAACTGGGCAGTGGTGGCACACACCTTTAGTCCCAGCACTCAGGAGTCGGAGGCAGGTGGATCTCTAAGTTCGAGACCAGCCTGGTCTACAGGGTGAGTTCCAGGACATCTATAGCTACACAGAGAAATACTGTCTTATGGGAAATAAAAACCAGAAAGTTGAAAGAAAAAAATAAAACCCTATGCTTCATCTCGCCTCTCTGTTCTCCCAACTGGAGAAAGCATAGTACTCAAAAGCTGTGAGCACACTATAAAGATACAATATCATAACATAATAATGGAGCATCAAAATAGAGCAAGAGTAGATATTAACCATGGACAATGGGCTCTTATGGCACAGTAAAGGTTTAACTTACAAAAACAAAGACAAGTTATCGGTCATTTTAGTCCTTAGTCATTCTAGTCATCAGCCTTACTGAACTGGAAAACCACAGACAATAAAGGCATTGTAAGTCTCCTTCTCCCTCGACAGCTGTTTTCCACCCAATCCATCCATTTGTGGAGGACTAAAGACAGTGACTACCAAGTAGAGAATGAAGTCAGAAGTGAGTTACTAGCCACATTCCCTAGCTGACGTCCTCTCTAGATTCAGTTCTGTTGCTAAAAAAAAAAAAAAAAAAAAAAAAAAAAAAAAAAAAAAAAAAAAAAACCACTCTGGCCAAAAGCAATGTAGGGGGAAAGGGCTTCAGCTTCAGAATCCCAGCTCACTGTCTATCACTGCAGTGATAGAGTGTCAAATGACAATAAGCTAACAAAGCCACCTTCTGAAATGGTCCTGTAGCTGCTCTCAGTTCAGCAGGAAGCCCTGGGTTACTTAGACAGATCTCTTTCCTGCAAAAATGAAAGAGTCCTGTCTGCTCAGCCTATCACAAAGCACTGCTGAAACAATGAAGACAGTTTCTAAGGTTTAGCATTTTGTATAAAGATAAAATGAAATTCTTAACTTTAGTATTTACTGTTAATAAATTTTAGTGCCTTCTACTATCTAAAATATTCAATATCTGATGCCTGTTCAATATATAAATTCAGTATTTATTACTTGTTCAATGTTGAAGTTCTGATGTCTGCTTAAATGTGTACAGACAACAGCACATCTTACAAGCACAGATACATATAGACACACCTATACACAGCTCTGTTTTCCATTCATCATAACCAAAGCTAAAACAGAAAAAGAAAAGCTAACCACTTCCAGATTGGGATTGAGTGTTATATTCTACACATGAGTCTGTTCAGCTGTATTATTAAACCTAAGAGGGGCTTTACAAACAAGCACATCCAACCTCATTTAATGTTGAGACCCAAATGAAGCATTCTGACCCTAGAACCATAAAAATAGAAAGTACTGCCCTTGATATTCTATGCTGAAAGAATATTAAATGACTAGGATTCTTCTTATCCGTACAAGGTCCATCAAGAATGAGCACTTTGTCCTAGCAGTCCTGGGTCCAGGAGAACTTCTAATGGAAAGTAGCCATGACATAGGATCTAAGGGCTAAGATGCACTCAGCACAGGCGTCTTCACCAAGCTTTATCAACTGTTCCCCCTAGAAAATGTTCATGACCCAGAAACTAAGCAAGCACATTAAACAATCTAGGGGTAGTACTGAAGACCTAGGGCACATAAGAATTAGCACTTTTCCAATTTTATTTATTTAATTGAATTTGAATGTCTCCAGACGTTCACAATGGGACTAGAACAAGCAAATAGAAAATAGCAAGTTGACCACTAATCCTATAGTAACATATTAGAAACCACTGAGTTTATTCCTGGAGCAATTGGAGGTTTAAAGTGAAACTCGCAGATAACTCTGATTACAATTGCCAGTTTCCAAATGTAACAGTGCTAATTTCTCAGTGGTAAACATAAACTGAGTTCTGTGCAAGCATAAGGATCTGAGTTTGGATCTCCAGCACCTGAGAAAAATTCAGGCACAGCTGGACCTGTAACCCAATCACTGTGGAGACGAGAGACCTAACCTTCTACCCAGCCAACTGAGCATGAAAATGGGAGTTACAGGTTTACTAAGAGATCCTGTCTCAAAGAAAATAAAGAAGAAAAAGATAAATAGGACACCTGATGCCCTCCTCTGTACTCAGAGCACGCGTGTGTGCGCGCACACTACACACACACACATACAGAGAGAGAGGGGGAGAGAGGGGAGGGGAGGGAGGGAAAGAGGGAGAATCAGAGAAATCGCGTACACACAAAACTCAAACACATATACATTAATTCATAATTTGGGGGTACTAGCTTTTTCTTCTTAAGCCCTGACTTAAATGACCTCCTCACTCATTCTTCAGTTTTTTTATTTATTAAATCTAAACACCGGGAAATAGACTGCGACCCATTAGAATGGGATTCCACCCTGATAACACCATCAAGAGTTGAAAGTATTGTAAGGTGAAATGGAGTGGAGAGTGGGTGCATCTTGATAGATTCAGCACAGCCAAAACAACAGCGTACAGGCATGGGACACTTATAGAATATTTGTTGTTTATCAGCCTAGCCTGAACTTCACCATCAGCTCTCTGTCTCTCTCTCTCTCTCTCTCTCTCTGTGTGTGTGTGTGTGTGTGTGTGTGTGTGTGCGCGCGCGCGCGCTGCTGGCTGGACCTGGGCCTCTGTTGTTACTTCCCAACATCAGTAAACATTATACTGAAAATCACTGGCTAAAGACAAGATCATACTACAGAACCCAAGAATGGTTTATCCTGAGTTTTACGCCTTTTGAACCATGATGAAGTTGAAAAATCACCAGTCAAATCAGCGTTAAGTCGGGGCCCTCCATCAGATGAGCTTGCAGTCTCGTTGAGAAGACAGTAATACACAAGCAACTAAACAAACACAAAATTAAAGGTGATCTCCATGAAGGAAATAAACAAGATATAAAAATGAATAATGAGGTCAGGAGACTAGAGAAAAACCACTCCAGAACTTTATGGGAAATTCTAAAATGCATCATTTGCATCTAAACCCAAAAGATAAAAAGCAGCCACCAAGTGAGACGTATTTCAGACAGAAATAACTATGCAGGAAGACCTTAAGGAGGTACAGAATTGTTCTGCTTAAAAACTGAAAAGAAATCAAAATGCCATTGAATGATGGATAAAGGAGAACAAGACAGTTGTCAGATGACCAGACAGTTAGCCAGGGAGATAGCCATGTGACGACAGGACAGAAAACCGAGAGAAACTTTTACCCAGAAAAAAAGAGCGGTAATCAAAGCAACTTTCGATTTTTAACTAGATATTCAGTAGAATTAACATTCCCCATTTTCTATTTCTAACCATTAAAAATACTGTAACATATATTTTCCTATATCCTAAAACATTCTTTTCATTTTCCACTTCTAAAAGAATCATACACATTTCTGATGGAAAGAAAAAATTGAATCTTGCTTTTTCACTATTTTGAAAAAAAAGTCTCTGAATTTTAAGTAAAATGTTTAGACCATTTATATTTAAGGTAGTTACTGTTCCGGTTTATATAAAATCTATCTTATTAGGTGTTTTCTATTTATTCCACCTGTTCGTCATTCACGGAGAAGATAGCATGACTGAATACAAATGTTCTTTGTGTCATTGGTACCCAGAGGTTCTTTACATTTATGCTAACTCGCCCCTAACAGTTAGCAACCTACCGTCTTATCTAACAGCAACTATTATGACCACTTTTTCCTTCCTGCTCCATCACAGGTGGTCCATGCACAGACGTGTGCCCTTCCTTCCTTGGAGGTATCCATCTTTCCTTGAGTTTCTGTATTTCTTCCCAGTGACTTCAGGTCTCTTGAATGTTATAAATGTTTATATTTTCAGGTTTCTTGTCAGTTCAAGAGTGAGTCTCTCCTCAGATTTCTATACTCAGATGTTCTGTCTTAATTTAAGCTATTATAACTGGGTGACTTTTCAACATCAAAAATCATTTCTTGCCATTCTCAAAGATAGAAATTTGAAGTTAGGGTACTAACATGGTTGGGGCCTTGCAAGGGCACTCTGCCAGATTTCAAGTAACCAACTGTTTGCATCCTTACAAAAAAGGCAGGAAAACAACAAAGCTGTTTCTGAAGTCTGTTTGGGAGGGCGCTAGTCTCAGTCATGACGAGTCTAGACTGCTGATGCTCCCTGGGGCTTTTTCTTCAAAAGTCATCACTTCAAAAGAAATTAATCATAGGAATGTATGGACTATAAATATCCAATTCATGCTGCCCCCTCACAATAATGTTAAAAATGAAAACATATCAAACTCTAAAGTAGTTTCAATTCAGGTACCAAATTCACCAAAATGTAGAAAATGATCTCCAAATAGAAAGTTCTAGTTAAAACAACAAACAACAAAAAGTATTGGTTTTCAACAAAGAAAATATTTACAAATGTAATTATAGAAAATATTTAAATGATAACAAGCGATACGATGGTTAATAGTTAACCTAATAAAATAGCACAATCGATCAACCGAAAGGTCTTTAAAATTAGGGTTATGATTTCACAACCCCTAAAACACTGAAAAGCTTTCCAGGGTGACATAGAAAGATTCAGTAGAAAATTCGAGAGACTGCTGGATACTGGATTTTAACCGGTGTCTTGATACATCTTCCAGATCACTCCGGGAAGCAAGGCGGCAGCTGCCAACCTGTGTCCTGGGGATGTCATCCTGGCTATTGACGGCTTTGGTACGGAGTCCATGACCCATGCAGATGCACAGGACAGGATTAAAGCCGCAGGGTATCAGCTGTGTCTCAAGATTGACAGGTGCGCCTTGGCTAATGGGGTCAAAACTTGATCTGGTTTTCAGGAGAACCCGAACCAGAACTCTAAATGGCCTCATCTGCTTTGTGAGAAATGTCATAGACCTAGAATTTCAATGGGTTTTTGTTTGTTTGTTTTATGTTTTTGTTTCTGTTTTTTATTTATCAGCCTCTTTATTCTTATATTCGCTGAAACTAGTCAGTCTAGCATGTGTGGATGAACCAATTTTTAAAAACAAAATTCTCTGAAATGTCAAAATTAAAGTCACGTAGACAAATGAATGGCTTCTTCATACAGTAGCCCAGTGATTTGACCTTGAAAATAATTATAGCCTTGAAAACACAAAGCAGAATAAACGGCAGGACCATCACTCTGTGGGACGGAATAGGATTGAAAGGTGCCCCTCAAAGACTCTCTTGATTTGCCCCAATGTGACCATGTTACATTTGGTTCTTAATTTCCTCTCTGCTGCAGGCTGGTCTGTACAGATTCACCCCAAAGACTACCACAAGGTGTGGGGGATAGATATGTGTATAGTGTATATGCAGATGCTTCTAGCCTATCTCCTAAAGCTGAAATTTGATCCCAACTCCTCGTTATGAGAGCTTTGGTACGAAGCTAAGAATAATGAAATAATAATTGGTTATAGTGGTCGCTGTCACGTGATTATCATGTGGCTGTAGTACTCACATTCCTCTCCATCGGTACAGGAGACTCAATCCATTAGCCGTCCATAACCTTCATGGAGTAAAATAGAGTCTTTCCTATCTGTGCCTATGGTTCTGAGCCACAGACACATAAGAGCTGGGCACACCAAAGCTCTTTGATGCCAGTCACACCGCCCTGTGGCCAATCTCTCCCTGTGGCTACGATGGTGGCCTTAGAAGGATAGAAGAGAAGCGAAATCCATGGAGTTTGCCTCCTGCTCTCTGCGGTGTGTCTCTAAGTGCCCTCCTCTGTTGTTCTGGAGACCGCGTCATGCACTCGCTCTGTTCCCAAGTCTGCAAAAATACCCTAAAAAATAAGTCTAACAAAATGGGGACGTACAGAGTAAGTAGACACTAGATTCTTCTGGCTGAAACTAGTCAAGGCTGCCAGTGTTTTTCACAGCCGGAGTGGGAAATCGTGTGTATTTTGATAGGATCCGGATTGAGACTCCGAGCTTGCCAGCTTTGTTTTCTTTGCAGGGCAGAATCGCGCCTATGGTCGCCACAGGTGTCTGAAGATGGGAAAGCACATCCTTTCAAAATCAACTTAGAAGCTGAACCACAGGTATGACGTTAGGAGAAAATGAAATCACCTCGCCCTTTCTGTTCACGGGTGGGGAGGCTTCCTGGGGGCAGAACTGACAAACTAAGAATCAGGAGCAGGTCACCTGTGAGGTCGCGATTGGGGTCTACTCGCTGAGATTAATTTACATGATTCATATTTTCTTATATCCAAACAGAGCAAGGACCTAGGTAAAGATCTCTTTAAAAGTCACGTGTCTCCTCTGCCGGGCGTGTTGGTATAGGTCTGTAATCCCAGAATTTGGGAGGCAGAGCCAGGATTGCTGCAAGGCTGAGGCCAATCTGGAATAGCCAGGAAGTTCCAGGCCAGCCAGGGCCACAGACTGAAGCCACGACACACTAGAAAGGGAGGAAAACACACTTTCCCGTTCAGAACAATTTGACTAGATCTGCATGGAGGCCACTTTTATTTTCCTTCTCTTTTCTTTCTTTTTTTTTTTTTTTTTTTTTTTTTTTTTTTTTTTTTTTTTTTTTTTTTTTTTTTTTTTTTTTTTTTTTTTTGGTTTTTCGAGACAGGGTTTCTCTGTGGCTTTGGAGCCTGTCCTGAACTAGCTTTGTAGACCAGGCTGGTCTCGAACTCACAGAGATCCGCCTGCCTCTGCCTCCCGAGTGCTGGGATTAAAGGCGTGCGCCACCATCGCCTGGCTCTTTTCATTTTCTTATGATAGACTTCTGCTGAATAAATGGCCATGATGTAATCTGAGAACGTTAAGTTGTTTAAATGAGGCAAAACTAAAAACCGGACTGGGCCATTTGAAACAGGTGGCGCTAATCTAATGGTTGTAATCTTCAGTGCGGTAAGGTCTTTGCACGGGTCTTGTTTTGACACCCTGATTTAATTCTCAGTTCTGACATTCTCTAATTAAATTTACCTTACCTAAAAGAATTGGATTTTGTTATCACGGAGATACTCCGCTCGTGCGACTGCCTTATAACAGATAAGGGATTTTTCCCTTGAAGCAACCCCGTCTCGTGAGCCACATGAATCTAATCATCCAAGGCTTATCTGGCTATGCCCATTTTCAAAACCCCCCCTCCCCAAAAGGCTGAAATTCTGAAATTGAATCAAACCTCTATTATAATACACTGGAAAAATCTAATTACAAACAGGGCTTTAGAACCTCTATTTAGAAGCTGCCAAGGCTTAGAGATGCAAAGATACATGTTTAATATCATCTCTAAAACAAGCTCTCCTAGTAAGATGCTAGCTATTCCTAGTTTGCTATTCCAATTTGCTAATAAAGACTGCCGGGGAGCACAGTTATAATTCACACTTCCGCACTCTTGCCCTTGGCAGGGTCATAGGCTCCGTGTTTTCTACTCACCCCAGTAAACCTCTCTTTTCTCTTCATTAAATAGACATAGCACAACAGAAGTACAAGTGTCTCACAGGCTGCTCAGAGATTTCAATAAGACGATACAGGCAATGGCCTTTTGAAAGCTAGTGGAAGGAGAGGGATGGCTTCTGCTTAAGTGTCTTCTCCCCTCAACCTCCAAGCCGTGAGCAGAACCCTTCCCAACTTCCTTGACAGTGTTCACCAGCCGTTTACAGAAGGGCTTTCTGTCTTCACTGCCGCTGTGAGACAAGGAAGAGTCCCTTCCTTATGACTATTACAAAGGTCATTCTAAATCGTGGTCCTTCAAAGTTTCATTTCAGTTAAAATATAGCTCCTTCCCTGGCCCACACACAGAAAAGGAAACACGGTATGTATTCTTTCAAGAGAAGGGTTAATAAGATTCTTGACCTAGGTTTTGACTAAAAGGGAAGAGATAATCTGCGCCTAAAAATTATGAGCCAAAAGAAGAGAACAGGGGCTGCAAAGAAAGCAAGCAGGATATAGAACACTTTCAAGACAGGAGCCGTGGGTCTGTTCTCCTTGCAAGTGCCCAGTAAATCCCAGACTAATGGGATGGAGGCTAAACTGTGCATTTCCTAGTATTGACCAGGCTGGGTCCAGGGGACCAGTTCTCAGAACAGATGCTGCCTCCAGCTGTTACGTTTTGTGTGATCTTGGAAGGTGAGTGGCATATTTAGGTCAGAGAAAACTTTCATTCTTCCAAGTGAGCAAACACTGAAAAGGATGGTGAGAAGAGATATAGATTGGCCATCCCAGATTTAAACTGATGAGGACCAGAAGCTTCAGGTTCGTGTGAAACATCTGCATATACACAGTGAGATGCACACATATACGGTGAGATATACACATACGCAGATACACACATATACAGTTAGATATACACATACACAGTGAGATGCACACATATACGGTGAGATATGTTACTGAAGAGACCCAACCCAAACCCAAAATTTGCTTTTTGCCTTTTTTCATCTTGACACATAGGCTCAGGGGAATGAGCCTTCCCATTGAGTCAGGAGCCACTGCACGAGACCAGGCGAGGAGTTTTCCACTTACAACCTATCTCTGCTCAAAATCTTCCCCATTTTGGACCAGTTTTGCTTTCTGGGTTTAGATTAGAGACGTTCAACCTGTAAACATAGCAAAAAGATCTAAAAGCCGCTGGTGTCACGCCCTGGCACGCTAGGGTCATGTATGTTGGTAACTGGCAATACCTCAATCAACACTTAAATTGATACAAGGGAAAGTTAGATGAAACACAACATTCCAGATACATCACTGTCATGTGTACTCAGCCCTTTGTGGCAATGCCCGATGCCTGCTCACTTCCCAAACACATCAGTTCATCATCTAGAAACAACAGAAGAGAAAAGGAAGACCTGTGTGGCCCTTCTGCATGTCTCTGTTGACTGTCCAAACGTGGAGCCTAGAATGCATTGGATGAGATTCCCATCTCTGTGTCCGCTCACAGCACACATCGATTGCTGTATTGTGTGCACCCTTTTGCGCAATTTTCCCGTCCCAAATGTGTCCTTGTTTTTAAAACTCTAACTCTCAATATGAGATGCAAGCTCTGGGGTACTAAACAGATTCCATCACTGGGCCAAACCCCAGATGACATTTAATCACAGTTTCCACTCCTACCCTGGTAAGGATTTATTAAACCAAGAGGTACTCAAGCCGTGATGGGAGTCTGTATTTTGCTACCTAATATCTTCAGAATTTAGAGGCGATAGATGATAATCCCTAGCTGGAGTGAGAAAAGAGGTCTCTCTTGCAAACAAACCTGCACGCATTAATTTATCACTATCACTTTTCCAAGAATTAGCTTCTAAGACATAATTCTAATTTTAAATATTCTGGCCTCTTGTTAATCATTTTATTAGCCAGGATATGCAGAATTTAAGGGTTAGAGTAGACATATTTTTTTTTTTTTACAATTCTTCAGATAGGGAAAAGGAAATGAAAGGAAATGAATTTCTTTCCTTTTTTAAGTGAGAAAGGTGACGATTAGGTTAACAACTGCAGCCAGGATTCAGATGGTGTCTTTTAAAATTCCATTCGCTTGAGTCATGCCTTGTCCTTATGGACTCGCTCTCCAAGAAGCCAGCCTCGGACGGAGGGGCCCCAAGATAAGAACAAGTTCAGCTCTCCTAATCATCAAAGGGTTTCCTCTGATGCCGCCAGACTGCAGCATGACTAGCTCACAGGGCGCAGGCATTTGGTCCACAAGACAGCTAAATTTCAGTGTAGTTTCTGCCACCCGAGAGTCCTGGTTACAACACAGCGGGGCATTCTCCGAACAGGTTATACACTTGGGGTCTTTGCATTTGGGAGAAAAAAAAATGATTTTTAAGTAATACACACACACACACACACACACACTGCCTCTCAGAAAGATTTGCTTTCCCCCTAATGAGAACTATGTAAAAAGAGCACCTTTCCGGAGAGCAGAGGTGTGTCAGCGGGGGCGGGGGGGGGGGGGGGGGGGGGGAGATGGCATCAGCTACGCCAATGCTTCTATTCCCCTGTGCTGCTACAGGCGAATGGTAAACCGCAGCCAACAATAGAGATCTGAATTCTTGTGTCTCAACCCAAGCCAAATTGGTATAGTAAGTACTGTGACCTTTGGTATAGGGTAAAATATTTTTTCTTGTTTTTAACATGCTATCTACTCATAACATACTATGAAAATAAAACATGTCCCATTATCTAAGACCAAGGCCAAGTGATATATTGATATTATTTATACATATGGTGTTTTTCCCTCTAAGTTTAGACGTGGGGGACTTTTTCTTACATAATTATAATAATTGATTTTAAATGTTAATGGATAGGGTTTTTTCTTTCATCTTTCTGTGCTATCGCTAAATAGAGACGTTTTGTTTTTATGGATTCAGATTTGAGTCTTATGCCTATATAGGACCTTAGAAGTTGTTCAGATCAGTTTCCAGCAACTGAATGGATTCATTCCGAGTCCGGCAGTCTGTGCGCAGACTCTGGTATTTTTCCGAACAAGGTGTCACTCTAGAAGGGCATTGTTAGTCCTTCCTCAAAGTAAACTGTTACTTTCACTCCTGCTTAATATCCGGGTAACCCAAACATATGATGTATCTATTATAGCAAAAAAAAATGGGGGCTTAGAAACAAACAGAAAACGGCTCTGTCTGAGCAGGAAGGACATTATGCCCATGTCTTTGTAAAGAACTATGTCTTCCTATTAAAGAGGTGTTTACATGTGCGGCCAGTTTGTTTCCCTAAAGCTAACTTCAATCTCCTCTGCAATGTTTTGGTAACTGGAAGGAGATCTACAAAGCAATCTCTCACGCACATTTCCCACGGAGCTCCTCTAACGCAGAAACTCTTGAAGCCCATCACTAGAGGAAAACGATGGTTTCAGAGTGCCTTTGTATTCCACTTGAAGGGTGGGCACGAGCGGATAGCTTCATAAATTCCAGGCGCGATGGTACAGACCCATTGCCTCACTTTGACTTGATCAACTTTTTCCTCGCTTTGCATCATTGATCTCTTGCCTCCCTGTGGCTTTCATATGAAAGATTTAGAGAGTGGTAGGTATAAGAGAGAGGGATGGAGTGTGTGGGTCAGGCACACTGCTTCAGATGAAGATGGTAATGGCCTTGATCCTTCATCTGTGCACGTCATTAAGTAAGAAACTGAAGGTGAACTGGCTTTGAGTGTTGTCCTTGTCCAGGGCATTTCTAGGATTTGGGTGCCTGCTGCCACAAGTCCCATTTTTTCTGCTACCAGTGCCATTCCACAGATTCATAACTTTAACCCAACCATTTAATATTTCACTCTTTCAACACATTGTCCTTTAACATGAGCCCCTTGTGTTTAAAAACCTGATTTTAAAATTGAGAATTAATTCAAATGGCTACTTTTTGGTAAGGTAAGAATTATTTGAGGGCTGGAGAGATGGCTCAGCAGCTAAGGGCATTGCCTGCTCTTCCAAAGGTCCTGAGTTCAATTCCCAGCAACCACATGGTGGTTCACAACCATCTGTAATGAGATCTGGTGCTCTCTTGAGGAAGAGACCTGGTCAGTCATCCTCATCAACTTAGACCATGAAACCCAATATGGACAAGATCAACAGAACCACCATATACGGGTGCCCACGCATGCTTCAGCATTGCCAGGGCATAAATTTAAAAAAAAATTGGAAGAATTATTTGATGACTTTCTCTGGGTAAAATAAACACAAATGTGGGGATATAGAAATTGCTACATAAAAACTTTATGTCGCATGTGCTTTTCCAAGAAAAGAAAAAGGAATTAAAGAGGACCAGCAGGCGTCTAACCGGCTTTGTCTTTTGATTCTGTTTGGCCATCAACAATGATGTAAGACTTGGACAGAATGCTGCCTCTCTGTGCCATCGTTAAATTTCTTGTTTAACGATGTATACACGTTGGTGTATACACTTCATTGTGCTTTGGGGAACGACTCTAGAAACCCGTAAACTAATGCTTTGCAAAGCCTAAACAAGAATGTCTCAAGCCTGCGTTAGAAAGACCTCCTTTTGTGATGTGAATAGAACATACGGGGATTTTTTCTTTTAACCAATCACATATTCCTAATGTGAGAGAGACAGAGAAAGGGACAGAGAGAAACCAAAGCTGAACTCACAAAGGAAAGCCCGGAGCTGGCTAACGTATATACTGATGTTTGGAAGTCCTACTGGGGATCCTGAGAGCAGAAATATCTTCAGGCGAGCTGGTCCCTATGTAGGACAATCATCATTCGTGCTTACTCACTATTTGAAAGCTTACAAACTAAAAACTGAAGGCAGATACTTTTTCCCCCAATCAAGCCATCATAGTATACTAATTAATTTTTGTAAACGTCATACTATTCACCGCGATTTTTAAGACATTTCATACTTCACTCTGAAAAGAATCAACCCGGTCCCACAAAGCTGGAGTGGCTCATTTTATCCTGACCGACTCGCTCTGTAATTAGCATGGAAGATTTATAATCCACCAAAGCTAAATTGGGCCATTAGCCTCTGTCTTCCTCCTATCCAAAGGAGTTGCGAAGGCTCAAGCCATGAGTGCTGTCATTACTTAAAATTGTCCCCAGCACACTTTTTTTTCAAGCCATAATAATGGGTAATCAAAGTGATAATCACAAAATACAGCCAATCCGAATTAAAGATCAGCACAACACCCTCAGACCATGCGGCCATGTAAATGTTTGCACACACTTTTATGTGTTGCGGGACTCAAAACTGAGACATTTCTAAAACTATGTTTGGTGGCTTCAGTACTCTTTTTACTGAGTGACAGCAAGAATAATGTCATCCAGCCAATGCCTCAGCATCAAGATATTCTTGTAGAGGAAAAAGAGGTCTGTGAACAAGGTATTAGTCAGTCTATTACCACTATATACTCATGGGCTAAGTTGTATTCAGCTTAGACCTTTTGAGCTCCGGGATACTGTTAACCCATGTGCCCTACCTTGAGGAGACAAAGACCCTGTCCTTTATATCATCGCAGATTCTCAGGCATCATGACACTGGGGACGAAGGAGAAATGATTCAGTAGCTAATCACTGAAGCTGTGCCCATTTGCAGCGTCATAACTATGTTTGAACACGGTCTGTAGGCCTCCATGGGGAAACATTTCAAATAACCACGCATCATTTCAAGTCTGTGTGCAACCCTGACTGCATATTCACAGAATAAAAGAGGTTATAGAGATGGAGGTAGCTACGGCTGCCAGGTAGAATCACGTGCACAGGGCACAGACCCATGAGCATTTTAGCATCCCTACCAGCTTCCTCTGGTGCTTCTAAGACAAAAATGAACATGTTTGAAAATTGTCAATGTATTCAAAACAAGGAAACATTATCCCTACGCTTAGATTGGGTCATTCGGGCATGTTTCAAACTCAGGGCTTGAGACGCTGCTGTCCTGTGGGCAACAAAGTAAAATTACACAAATGCACATGCATGCACACACACGTGTGTATGTGTATATATATCCATATATGTCCATATATACCCATATAAATGTGTGTATGTGTATATATATATATGTATATATATGTCACATCTCTGGATTCCTTTCATTTGTCCTCCAAGAGACAACCATGAAGAATTCCTTAAATACACATACTACATTATCACAACAAAGGGAAGGAATTCTGTGCACGATATTCCCGCCTTCACAAAATCTTCTCATTCTCCTTGCTCATTAAAAGTACAGCTGTACTCAAATTAATGATTTGAGTCTTGTTGCTGTAAATATTAAAAAAAAAAACTAAAGTCATTTGTGCCTAGATCAGTTTAGGTGACTCACTGTAGTTATTCTCCACCACTCAGTGGCCAGATGATCTTCATCCTCTCATCCTCTCAGTCAACACGGAGGAAAGCTCATTCCGATGTAGGGGTAGCAGGCTTGCCTGGGGAGTGCTGGACCCTGGGTTCTATCGCCAGTGTCCCACAGCCAAAGGGCATTTACAGAGAAGAAAGCGCATGTGACCTCGCGGGAGAGGACGTTAAATTTGGCCATTTTTTATTCTAAACTAAAAATCTCATTTCTAATACACTGCATTTTGAGTTTCCTAAAGGAAGGAGATGGAGCCAGAAAAGAAGGCGAGACCATTCTTGAACTCTGAGATAGCGAGGGTCCAGTCCAGTGCAGCTAACGTTTGGCCGATGAATGTAGCGTGTGTAAATTGCAGAGACACAGTAGAGAGATGGACCCTAATTCCTCTCCTAATCATTTTGCTAGTCCTAGAGCAGGTAATGATGTCTCAATTAACAACAGCATCGCTGCCGGGTTCGTTCATTAACCGCTGTGTTGTGCGTTCTGTGGCTCTGTGTATTTTGTCTGCCGTGTACAGGAATTCAAACCCATTGGTGCCGCGCACAACAGAAGGGCCCAGCCTTTCGTTGCAGCAGCAAACATTGATGACAAAAGACAGGTAGTGAGCGCTTCCTATAACTCACCAATTGGGCTCTATTCAACTAGCAATATCCAAGATGCGCTACACGGCCAGCTGCGGGGTCTCATCCCCAGCTCACCTCAAAAGTAAGTACCTGCTGCTCAGTTCCAGCCAATGTTCTTCACAACGTGGTTTCTTTCCCGACCTCCAGCTCCTGCCATTTCCTCCTTTACGTTCTCGAAGGTACTATCACACTTGTTTTTTAAAGAGAAGCATCTAGAACTTGGCTCTAATTTGTTCTGGAGCCCAATCAGCCGGTTCCTGAATAGTTAGTAGCTACGAGGTCTGGTTCCGTCATCACCGTTCTTAGGCATGTCGGTATTTGGTGGTTAAACATCCTCTCTGCACAAGTCTCATGCATTTACTTTAAACCCCCAAGAGATTGAGCCGCCACTGAGGGATTTTTCTTTAACCCTTTGTTTTTGCAGGATGTGAACTACTTTGAACACAAGCACAATATTCGGCCCAAACCTTTCATAATTCCAGGCCGAACAAGGTCATAAACTCTGAGATTGTGAAGTTTGAAGTGCATGCTGCTTTAACCAATTCTTACTAACAGCCCAGAAAAGTAACTTCTAGGTGTCTGGAGTATCTTTTCACTGTGAAGCTTATGTTCAAAGCAGAAGGCAACAACTCACTTAGCAGCGAAGGGTAGCCAGGTAGCACCCGTTACTGAGGGTAAATATTGACTAGATGGCAGGGCTGTGAAATCTTAGGTGATCACCGTGTGTATTTATAACTAATGACCCAGAAGCTCTGCGGATCCCATCCAGAACACAGTGACCTCTCAGGCAGGCAGATGAACCCTGTCCCAGGTCAGGAAAGCCCAGCCTGCAGAGACAAAAAAAAACAAAAAAAAAAAAAAAAAAAAAAAAAAATGGAAACCAGCCCAGGCAGCAGCAAGGGGAAGCCAGGATTGCTTTATGAGTTTGACAGACTCTGGCCATCCCACCTCAGTTCCTGCCTCTCTTTGCACCTTCAAACCCACCACTTTAGCCCTGATAGAAGACTAGCTTTTCATGCGTATGAATTCTTTCAAAGGAAGAAAGGCTCCTCAGACAGGAACCTTTCCGTCTGGTGAAAATCAGTATTAAGATGAAAGAAGGAAAGCAGTTACTGTGAGTGTTGCTGACTCTCATGGAATACGCTGTAAATGAAACATAGTATTACTAAAACTCTAAATTCTTTATCTGTCGATCGGAGACGTGATTATAGTGGCACAATCGTTTCCAGAATCTTCTCTAGACATTGAACTTGAACTTCAGCTGAAAGGAATACCAAAATCGCAACTTCAGGAAGCCTCAAATCCATCACTCTGTCCTTTGGTTAGTTAACCCAAGGAAGCTACTGATCAGAATAGGTGGATGCTAATGGGTTAGAGAAATGGCAGAATGGGGTGCATCAGGTGCCCCACACTGGTAGTACATAGGTGATCTCACACCTTAGGCATGACTTATTTAGTCCTCCCATTGTTTGCTTTATGTGGGGGTTAATTAAATATCTCTACATGCCATCTTATTGAAACGCTCATCACTGTTAAGTATATGTTAATCGATACGTTTCATAATTAAGTGACTGACCCTGTAGGTGCTGAATTCCTGCGACTAGGAAATCCTTACATCCTATGTGGTTTTTCTAAGCGTAGATCCTTCATTAAGCCACAGGAAGGGTCAGGAGATTGTCTCCAAATAAACCACACGGTTTTCCAATCAGACACAGGAGAAACGTGACCGGGCGAGCGGGAGAAAGGTGCTGAGAAAGCTGTGACGTCACAGGAGGTGTCTCTGTAGGGCTGGTCCCACGTTTTATCCCCACCACCTAGAAATGAGCCTAGAGCATCACAGTGTGCGCTCATCCCAGGTGCACCAGATAAAGGCATCAAATCCAGAGAGTACTCCGTGCTTCCTGAGTGTGAGACACGAAGCGTCAGAAGCCGCCGTCCCCGCTCCATCTTTAGGTCTACCCCGTGCTCTCTGTCCCCTTCTTCCCATTCCTTCTTCTCCTTCGTCTTTTCCCTTGTTTTTTTTTTCAATACTACTCCTGCAGCGCCCCACCTTCCGTCACACAACACACCACATTAAAAGTGAAAAATGCACAGGACACATGCTTTTAATCCCAGCACTCGGGAGGCAGAGGCAGGTGGATCTCTGTGAGTTCAAGGTCAGCCTGGTCTACAGAATTAGTCCTAAGACAGCCAGCACTACACAAAGAAACCCTGTCTTTAAAAAAAAAAAAAGTTAAAAATGCTATTTTATTATTGAATAATATATTGAATAAAGACCTAGGACACATTTGATTGTACAATTCAAAGAAAGTCAGGGGGCATTCTGCTATATTTATATAATGCATAATTTATATATTATATTATAAAATATAATTTAGTCTATATTAACTTTAAGGTGGTGATAAAGACAAACCATTCACAAGTTTGTCACTTGCAGATACCTCTTAGTACAACAGAATTTAGAAGAAAGGACTCTTCTAAAAACGAGTCACTAAATAAAGGTACCTGCGTACAGATTCTACAGACTAGTGGAACGCCTCTCTTCTCTCTTCCTCTCTCCCCTCACTATTTGCTCCAGCCTCAGAACTTTCTGCTCTCTCCCAGTGATTTGTCTTCAGCAAGGTAGAATTTTGAGAGGCTCCACATCAAGCTAGCACTGCAAAGGAACAACTTGTTCAATCCGAAGTAGAACAGGTGTAGGGGATTTATGTGTTGCCCTGTCTGGTGTTTCGGTGCCAGCTCCGGCTCCGTGATGACTTCATCACCGTCGAAGCCATTTAACGCTCCACTGTTCTTAAATTGAAATATGTGACATCTTAAACCCGGAGCCATAAGTCAAGACGTGCACCAGATATTTTTACGGATCTGGATGTAAAGACGAAATGCTTTTGCGTCGTTTTAAACAAGTTACATCCAGAAATCTGCCCTCCCCACCAAACGTCTGAACACAGTCCCAGGGAAGTTCAGTGTCCGTAGGAGAACCCACCTGGCTGTGAAATAACTGAGGTCGCCGTCCCCTTTCCAGGTGACCTGTCACATCACTAAGACAGCCTCAAGAGGTCACACCAGCATCTGCATTCCGGGTCATTAAGGTTAAGTCCCTGGACTCATGAGCCATTCTGCAGTGCCTAGAGTCCCTGAGAACCATTTTTATTCAAATCAACCCAGGAACTCTCTTAACATTGACTTGGACATTTATAAAGGTCACTCTCGTTGGTGTGACATCATTTCCTCCATTTACTAGACACGGGCCCCTAATTTATGAGTCACGGGACCTCCAATTCGAATGATAAAAGAGGGAGAAATAGAAGACACAGTCTTTGACAAATTAAAACCACATGCACATGTATATCAATATACAATCCCTAATGGCAGAAAAAGATTGCTAATTACAACTCCGAATAAAGCATATCTGTGAGTTCACGTTGATGATAGCTTACCCAGCATCTAGCATCCTGTCTGATGCACAGGAAGCCATGCAAGTTCTAAGCCTCTCCTGAATGGGCCTATTATGTTGGTCCCTCAAGATTTAACTCACTGTCTCAAACTCCCATTTTTCAAGTCCACGAACCTCATTACGCTTACGTCAAATCATTTAATTCCTGACCAAACTGCTTGACAAGAGAAAATTTTCTTCCTTCCTTTTAGCAGTTAAAGTCAATTTTAGGAATTGGTGCTGAGCCTAAAAAAACAGTGAATAAGGCCAGATGGCATTTTGGTATGTGACCTAACTCATGTCCTCTAGCTTGGTTTTAAACAAATTCTCAACAGGCAGAAGCAAAAGGGATGGTGTAGGAAGTTGGGTTGTACAACACAAGACCCTAAAAATAATTAAGTTATTTATTGACAGTATTGTCCACACTAACCAGGTTGCAACATTGAATGAATTTAAAAAAAAAAAAAAAAAACACTACCCAGCATCCTTTTGGGTTTTGGTGTCTATGTGGGGCTGTAGTTAACCATGTAGCCCTTCAAAGCAAATGCAAAGATGGGGGTCCCATCCTTCACAGCTGACCTTCAGACAATCGCATCACATCCGTTTATGTGTCTCAAGTTCACAGCAACACCAACGGGCAATCATAACAGAGGTTTACATGAACAGCTTGACATAGCTCGGCGACAGAGTGACTAATTGGCATGCCTGAGGCCCTAGGTTCAATTCCCAGTACCAAGTTAATTAATACTAACTAATTAACAAATGCATGTCCGGTGTGGCTGCTTGCCAGCTCGTTTTCGTAAAGAGAACCAAATCGCCCTTGTTCTTGACTAGGATGACCAACCTTTGTAATATTTTTAAAGTCCCTAAACAATGCTCTTAAAAGGAAATAAAAAATATGCCCGGAAATATGTGTGTGTGTGTGTGTGTGTGTGTGTGTCCAAAATCTTGCATGAAATACCTCTGTACAAAGGAAACAAACCTTAGCCCAGAGTAGCACCCGAATAATCCAAGATGACCTACTTGTTCTGTGACCAACCGCAAGGTGATGAGCATTTATTGACTGTTTCTAGCTCCTATGCTAAGTTACAGAACGGCATTTTAAAAGTATATTTTTAATAAGATAATATATTAAAATAGTAAAGTATTGATAAACTAGCTCAAAAATATATTTATTTAGACTGTCCCACAAGTTGCCAAGGCTTGACTCTGACTGAAGCAAGCTTATTTTGAAACGTTTAGCCTAAATCTTCATGCTACATAGTGTTATAATTTATGAAATACCATTCTTTATACTCCAATTATAAAATCGAGAGACATAAGAGGATATCTAGCTAATCTTCTGCTGTGGTAAATCCTTCAGCCAGTAGCCTTTAAGTTACCCGCCCACTTGGGCGTGGCCTCTTATACCATATATGCCCACGGGTAAAGCGCACTTGCTCTTTCTTCTGGCTGCCGGATTCCCTGTTCGAGCAGAGGACTGTGATCTGCGAGTCTACCCCTAAATAAATAGCCCTTTATTATACTCAATTCTGAGCTAGTGTGGGATTTCTTTTTAGCATCCGTTTTCATTCCTCCACCATTTACCTGTGATATTGTCAGAAACTAAATTATTTGGCCTATTTTTTTTAATGAGAATAGACATTTGTTGTCTACCTGCTTTATATACTCTTTCCACACGTCCACCCTCGACGTGATAGAATCAAGCCAACAAATGCTCTATCACCTGCGACTTTGTATTGTGTCCAAGTTCTTTGAGCGTGTATTTTTTTTTTCAGCCTCCCTCTGAGGAACACGTTAGCCAGGGATTAGACTGATACGCTCGCCCCTTCTGTCCCAGTTCCTTCTAACCTCTCTGTCCTTGTTTTCTGTGTTCTCCCGGCCCCTCGTGTCGTCTCCGTGTTGCGGTGTCCTTAACACAGTGGCTGCAGCACGCCTTCCGGTGTTGACTGCGCCAGCGGACGCAGCACCCCTTCCTCTGTCAGTACCGTTAGCACGATCTGCCCGGGCGACTTGAAAGTTGCTGCTAAGATGGCCCCTAACATTCCTTTGGAAATGGAACTTCCTGGTGTGAAGATTGTCCATGCTCAATTTAATACACCCATGCAGCTGTACTCAGATGACAATATTATGGAAACACTGCAGGGTCAGGTTTCCACCGCTCTGGGGGAGACACCCTCAATGAGGTAATACGAGTCTGTTTGAACCGTGGGCCCCCTTGACTAAACACGTGGGCGGTGTTGACTTGGACGGTGTCTTCTGATTGTCTCGGTGGAAGGAAAGCTATGTGAACGCTTCAAAGGGAAAAAAAAATCTTATTGCAAACATTGAAGCCTGGTGATAAAACTCGTCTATGGAGAGAAGAGACAGATAGAAAGAAAATGAAACCACATAAAGACAAAATGGATGTCTTTGGAAAGCTACTGCGTGCTTTATAAATGCCTGATTTAGTATCCTCAGAAGCGGCTGGTGATCTTACATCTGTCTTTTGTAGGTGAAAAGATGGGAGGTGGGGACAGGTAGAGACCACAGCTTTTACGGGATGATCCTTTCTTTTTCTCTAATTGCTGCGCGTGGAAAGGATTGTCTCCCTATCTAAAATGTTTGCATTCCATTAAGGTTTTAAAGCAAATTCTTCAAGCTGTTAGTGAAGATAGTCTGTCTTTATTTTGACTAGTTTCTTTTTTGTTATTCATGTCTGTTCCAAGTACCTCTGCAACCAAGCTTTTCCAATTAAAAAGATTTATTAACGGACTAAAATCCCATTGCTTCTTTTAGTGTTGCAAAATCACTTTCTATAAATTATTGTGATACTTGAGAATGCTATGTAGCAATATCTCAAGAGTTGTCACGGGGTTTATACAGTGAGTTAATCCCAAAGCCATTTTGTAAAGAAATATATATATATATATATAATTTTTAAAAATATGACAGGTGACTAAAATATACACAGATAAGTTTCTAGGTGGTACAGTTAAATAACAAAGTATCTAGTGCCTAACAAGTAATATATTTACTGAAAGCATAGTAAATAAAACTGCTCTCATGATTATTAATGTGACTACTAAAAACAATAGTCAATTTAGCAAACATTGGTGGAGGTTACTTCACTGTGTGGTTTGAAACACTGTCGGGTGAATTCCATTCACTGACAAGTTATATGAAACTTGGTTTTATATAAAAAGGGCATTATTTAAACTTCTATGAGTGAGCTCACTCTACTGTGTCTGCTGGTTTTTTTTTTTCCCTGAAGGGGGAGGGGGCGGTATTACATAACCATCAGACCAGGACTTGTTCTTTAAATTATCATGTCCTGACAGAAGTCACCTCTGTGAATCCACATGGTATTTCTTATACTAGAGACTCACTTGAGAGTAACCCCTGCTCGGCACTGGCTGGGAACAAAGGTTGATACTGTTGTCATGTTGCCTCGCGGGACCCCCGACGATGCGTCACCAGCTATATTTGTGTTTCAGTGAACCCGCAGCCTCAGTACCCCCTCAATCGGATGTGTACCGCATGCTCCACGACAATCGGGATGAACCAACTCCTCCTCGCCAGTCAGGCTCCTTCAGGGTGCTCCAGGAAATGGTGAACGACGGGCCTGGTGAGCCTCTACCACTATCTACTGACTTGTTTGTAAAGGTCCTCAGATGGGCAGAGAAGAGGAACTGAGCCATAGGGGATGGAACACTGGTTTTAGTCAGTATTCAAGTGAGTCTTTGCTCAGAAGGATTTAGGGAACGAACTTTCTGGATGTATCCAAGTATTCATGAAACAAAACCACTCATTTAAGTAAAAAATACCAAGAACAAATTCTATCCATAGTAGTCAAGGGCCAGCATAGCTTATTAATCAGAAGCTTTCGTATTCAACAGATACTAAAAGATTTCTCAGCCTCTTCCCCCACAGTTCCTTGAAGTATTATAAACCTTGAGGAAAAAAAAAAAAAAAACAAAACAAAACAAAAAACAATGAAACAGCTGGGTGTGATGGTGCACACCTGTAATCTGCTCAGGAGACAGAGGCAGGCTGATCTCTGCGTCCGAGGCCAACCTGGTCTACAGAGTGAGTTCTAGGACAGGAGGGCTACACACAGAAAGCCTGTCTTGAAGAACGATAGATAGATAGATAGATAGATAGATAGATAGATAGATAGATAGATAGATAGATAGATAGATAGATAGACAGATGAGAGAGAGATGAAATAAACCTACTGTGCTCCTTGCTCTGGGCAAAGTGCCTTGAGTATAGTATTACTAAGTTTTCACAATAACTCGGGAAGGTAGAAACTATTATTTGCCCCAATTGACAAATGAGAAACAGAGGCAGAAGAAAAGCGGAGTTGGATAAGGTCGCACAACCAGTACGTCGGAGCGCTAACTCCTCGCCCAATTCTGTTGTCCTCAAGTTTCTACTTCAGCCCAGGCATTTTTCTCCCTACAAGATATACAGTGCCCTTCAAGAGTCGCACAAAAGGCAGAAATGCCTCATGAGGATGGGTGCAAAAGTGGAAGTTAAGGGCTGGCAAGGTTCCAGAAACAATGGCCAGCTGTGTCCATCAGTGGTGTGGATACAAATGCTGCAAGCACTGTGGGAAGCAGGGCAGGTGCTCCTTAGAAAATTCATTCCGCAACAGCCCAGCAGTTCTGTGCCTACACAGACATCTCAAAGCAGAAATGCAGACACACACTTGTACAATGGTATTCCAGTTATTCACAAAGACCAGACGGATAGAAACATTCAGATCCCCGTTGAGACCCGAGTAGATAGACAAAACGTGATAACATACCCAGGACACAGTGTTATTCCACCTCTAAAAGGTCTGAGATTCTGACTGACGCGAGAATCGGGATGAACCTTGAAAGCCGTAGGCTAGGTCAAAGAACCCGGACATAAAAGGAAAGATCCTGTTGGTTCTGTTTATATTGAACATCTAGAGCAGACCAACTTATAGACAGAAAGTGGAGAAGAGGTTTCTAGGGTTGAGAGGGAGGGGAAGAGCACTTCCTGCCTGGTGGTTACACGGGCCGCAGTTTCTGTCCACAGATAATGAAGAGGGAACAGAACACACGTGATAGGCAGCAGGTGAGAATCCTCAGAAAGCATTGGAATGGCAAACTTTATGTCGTATTTTTTTCCCGGAAGACATCAAATGAAAGAAGCTCTCTGCTCCCTCCAGCATCTTGCAAGAGTTCCCAATAGCAGATTTGGGAAGCAATTTCATTTTTTTAAAGGGGCTGTTTCAGAACCAAGTCTCTTCTGCACCAGTGGGTTCTACTCCCTTTGAAACCGCGGGGCGGACGCAGCTGAAGGATTCCTTGGGCTAAAGTGCACGCTTTAAAATAGACACTAAAGTGCTCGCTGTCAAATCGACTCCAAGTACAAACGGAGCCAGCTGTTCCCTACCATAAATGGAAACGCTTTGTTTTTCAGATGATCGTCCCGCTGGAACTAGAAGCGTGAGGGCTCCAGTTACTAAAGTCCACGGCGGAGCTGGCAGTGCCCCGAGGATGCCACTCTGCGACAAGTGTGGCGGTGGCATTGTGTATGTCTTACTTAAACTCGGGAATTCACGTTGGGTCTCCTTGGCAGTTTTCCATTTCTTGTACTTTTAAGCCTTTATGTAGAAAGGGCAATGTTGAAAAGGTTAAATTTCTGTTCCTTAACTTAAAATAGAACATCTACAAGGCTGTAGCGTATCTGGCCAGTGTGCCGTAGTCAGAACCTTAAACTGGCGTAGCACGTGAGTCAGCAGGCTGTACCTTCAGAAATACGTTTGTGAAAAAAGATTATGCCCAAATGTGCTTATGAAAACAATTTCCAAGAACCATGATTTCCAGTTTAAAAGTAAATTTCATTAATATATAATCTTTGAATACTTACTTCTCTATATAGAAGAGAAGCAGATGCAGGGACCATTGGGCTGTGAATTAAAATGCATTGTGTGACCAATTATTTTAATTATACAAATATCAAGATAGAAATTTTTAAAATACTGCCAACTTTCATTGTCAGGGAATTCCACATGGAAACAGTCACCTTTGCTGAATTCAGATGTTTTTAAGTGAGTCATATCATCTTAAATGTGTTCACTTCGCCCATTCGTTTCTCCCCAGCACAAGTAGAGACACATTCGCCCAGTTATCCAAGACAGCAGTGAGCAAGTGAGGGGCCTGCTTAGAATGGAAGGAACGGGGGTGGGGGGCAGAAAGAAAAGGGGGTGATTTAACAGCATTTCTGAAAACATGCAACTCATGACATCACCAAAATTAATTATTACGCCTAAAGAAAAAGAAACCGTGTCCTTGGTTAAAGTGAGCCCACCCAATGGGTGTACCCTCTCTACTGGGTAGAGTAGGATGCTGGACTTGGGACAGAAAGTCAGCGGAGGGACTTCCAACTTTGCAGCCCATGGCTGACTCAAAGCAACTGCATAGATTGTGCTCCCACTTGTAAAGAATCTGGGGGCGGGGTAGGAGACAGGAGCCTACAGTTCTCGAAGTTACTCTAGACTATGAAGACTATTCACACCGCGGTATCAGAGGTGAGACCAAATGTGTCATGCAAATATCCGATGTGCGCTGTAGTTCCTGACTGTGAAACTGCCAAGCCTACAGGCAGCATCCTCTCCCTTTCTGGACTGGTTTCACCCGTGTCCCCTCTGTCTTCTCCCCACAGAGGCGCTGTCGTCAAGGCCCGGGATAAGTACCGGCACCCTGAGTGCTTCGTGTGTGCTGACTGTAACCTCAACCTCAAGCAGAAGGGCTACTTCTTCGTGGAGGGGGAGCTGTACTGTGAGACCCATGCGAGAGCCCGTACGAGACCCCCAGAAGGCTACGACACCGTCACTCTGTACCCCAAAGCCTAAGTCCTTTGCAGACGAGAACACGCATGCTCGCACCCACGCACACTTACACTGGCCCACGACATGGATGGCTTTAGCAGAAGGAGTGCGAACAGTCACCTCCCAATCTGAAGCCACGGCTTTTTAGGCATGTATCCCTATTGTGTAGTGAGGGCAAGAAATGGGAAGGCAAAAGCCCACCTCGTGACAAAACCAGTATTATCTGCGATTTGCGATTCTTTATCTTTGGGGACAGCAATGGTGACATTTAAAGCAATAATGTTTCAACCTTATGCTCCACCATTTCCATCTGTTATACCACCATTGGATGTGGTAACACCTGGATATTTGGGGGGAGTCAAGTTGTTTTTCCTTCAGAATTGCTTTTGATAATTGTAGTAAGAAATGCCAAATAGCAACCTTGTATTCTAACAGAATCCGCAGGTGTCTGTGTCTGTTTTTCCTAGCGTGCTTGTCAGGAAGCTGCTTCCAGGATTTCTCTGTTTTGTAGGCAAAGAGCTGTGCCACGGAACAACACAAACACAATAAATACGGGAAGCAATGTTTTTAAATTCCCAGTGAAGCCGTATTCGGTGGAGTCATCGTTTGAGCAGGAGGACCCACTCCTGTGTTAGCATGCAAACAGACAAGTATTATAAGAAGCCCGTGTCCTCATTAGTTTTTATACTTCAGTCCCTTGTGTGTATGGTAGGGGCTGGAATGTGTTCGTGGTTCAGGGGGTGAGGGGGGCGGGGTCCTGAAAAAGAGTGACCACGTTTGTGGAGGCCAGCGATCAACCTTCATGTCATTCTTCAGGAGCCATCAATGTTGGGTTTGGGGACTCGGGGCTTGCTGGTTTGGCTAGGATGAGTTATCAGCGACCCAGGGATCTGCCCTTCTCTGCATAGCCAGGTGACCTTACAAGTAGCTGTCGGCACCCCTGCCTTTTTAACGGGGCTGAGGCTCCAACTTCACCCTTCACGCTTGGTAGGCAAGCACTTCATTGACTGAAGAACGTCCTCGACTCCCTCGCTGTTTCTCATGGGCCCTAAGTTTCTGCTGATGGGAGGAGCATTGAAATTTTCTAGTTTAGGGTAATTCAATACGTTTCCCATTATACATTTTTTTTTTTGGCTTGGGCTTGGGCTCTTTTTATCTTTTAGGTTTGTTATTTTATTGTATGTATGTGTGTGTTTTCTGTGCGAGTATGTATGTGTACCATGTGCATGCCGGATACCTCCAGAAGTCAGAAGAAAGGGATGGGTCCCCTGGAACCGGAGTTAAGGGAGGTTATGAGCCACTATGGAGGTGCTAGGAGCTCAACTTGGTTTCTGCAAGAATACCAAGTGCTCCGAACAAATCAGCCTTGTCTCCAGCTCTTTTGATTGAAACATCTTGCTCACATAAACATTGAGTAAAATGGGAAGCTCAAGGTCCGTCAGGGTTGTTTCTCTCTCTCTGACTCGGCATGCCCTCTTTTATACCCCAGGACGACATCTCCTATAGGGGGACCACCTGCTAGGACTCACTGGGCCCCACTGCAGATCTCCATGTCTTTGCTGAGAACTTGCTCTCCACATAGTTCCGCCCTAGCCTTAACCTTGTCTCTCCTGTCACCTCCAAAACTCTCAGCTCAGTCTTCCAAGGATTTGGACATGAACTCTGACTGGCGTTTGGCCCCGGGCAGTCTGCCTTGGAAGTCCTACTGAGACTCACCTCCTCAGTCACCTAAGCTAGCCCCAACAGCAAAGTCCTTGGCTTTCACCCAGCAGGAAAGCAGTAAGAAGGGATGATGGGGACCATCTCTGGTGGTCTGCCTGTTGTGGCGTCATTCGGTCACGTCTACCCGCTGGAGCTGCTGCTCGTTAACCTGGAGCATGTGTCTGCCTCCTTATCAGGTCCAGTATGAGACCCTTAACTGTCTCCAACCCTGATTTCACCAAGAAAATACCCGCCGGGCTCCCATAGGCATTCGAGATTGGAACCTCTGCAGTAAAACATGCTTGTTACTAGAGCTATTAAAATCCGCTCTTACAGAGATCCAGGATGTGAGTGGATGGGAAATGCATCTCACTTTTGTTCAGGGGTTATTTTTAAGAATTTGTCCTGGAAAACAACGTTTTGGAAGGCAGAACGTAAGTGAATGGTAACTGACTTAGAAAATCTGGGAAAATTAAAACCAAAAACGGCAACTGAGAAAATAGAAAGACGAGGAAATTAAATTTCCAGGCTCTTGAAAAGCATGAGAATTAACAAGACCAGGCACCCCAGGGCCAGAGGTTAAAGGTGGGGCCACCAAAAGAGAAATAAATGGAATTTATTTAAGCCACACATAAAGGCTAGGGATGCAGCTCAGGTGGTGCAGTCTTTACCTCCCAAACACAGAGAGTTGATCCTCAGCTTTAAATAACCCAAGTGTGCGGTGCACATCTGTAATCCTAGCTCTCAGGAGGTTCAGAAGTTCAAGGGCATCCTCAGCTACTTCACATTTTCAGGACTGGATAACAGGACACTGTTTCAAACCACAAACCACATGGAAGTATTTGCTGCCTACACCCTTACAAGCTCGCACCCCTCAGTGAGACAGCGAACCTTGCTCAGAAGGGAAACAGAACTGTTGAACCATAAGGGAAGCACAGGGCATGGCTGCATGCTTGACTGGACACAGAAGAACAAACTAAGGCTGGATGGCTCATGAGGAATCATTAGACGTTAGTGTACACTATGGTATGTATTTTCCAAGCTGTGCATGGCGACAGACGTCTGTAATCCCAGCATGTGGGACTGACACAGAAAGTTATCTAGAGATCGAAGGCTAGCCTGGGCTACCCACTGAGACCTTGTCTCAATTAGTCAGTCAGTCAATAAACACAGAAATAACATTGGTTTTCAAATTATAGTTCAGATATTGCAAACAGAGTAGAGCACATACTCTATTTAATATGTCCACACTCAAGTTTAATAAGGAACTTAATATGATATGATAAAATATGATAGTGCCTATAAAATCTGAAATTAGAGAGATATAGGCTGTAATTTAGATAATTTAGATTATATGATTGTGGCTTCTGAGGCATGCTCCAAAACTACACATTCATTATTTAGAATAAACACCATTCTTCAAGCAATTCAATCTAAAGTTGTTAATATGTAGAAGAATTAAATAGAAAGAGAAATAAATGCCATATGAAAACCATTTTAAAATGTGTGAAGTAAGATATAAAAGTATCAATGATAAAAATTAAAATTTTTAAAGTATTTTCTTGAACATCCTATTTGTGATTTTTATGTGGATGGGTAGTTTGTCTGCATGTGTGTCTGTGCACCACATGAAGTGCCCACAGAAGCCAGAAGAAGAGTTGGACTCCCTGGAAGCTGGAGTTACAATTGGTTGTGAATCACCACATGAGTCCTGGAACTCAAACCTGGGTCCTGCTGAAGAGCAGCCAATCCTCGCAAACACTGAGCCGTTTCTCCAGCCCCCAAAAAATGTTTAAAGCAAATGAAAAGAGATGTTCTCCTTATATAGTATTTTGTCCTTCAGCAATGAATTTACGCCAGAAAGTCTATGTAGAAACTCATGTCATGAACAAAAGAAGGACAATTTTGGTTTAGCTCAGAGAATATATTCTCTTAGAGACAAAAGAAAAAAAAAGGCTTAGACGTTTAGATTTACAAGCTGCAAAAAACAAAATAAATAAATAAAAGCCGAAATACTCGATGACGCTATCCATGCTAGCTAGTGTTTTTGCAGGTGTTAAGTAGAAGAGCTTAGAGCACACTGTTGTCTCCCACGAGCAACCTACTCATCTCTACATATGGTAAAATTTCTCAGTTGTCCAACCTGAGAACACCGAGGGAAGCAGAGGCTTTGGGTCTTTTTATTAACAACTCTAGTTACAAATGTTTGCCATGGAGCTGGAAATAGGACTAAGTGTCTCGTTCTTACAGAGGACCCAAGTTCAATCCCCAGCACCCACATCAGGCAACTCACAACCACTTGTCACTCCAGCTCCAGGAAATGTCTCCAACCATAGGCAAAGGAACGCATATAGACATACACACATAAATAGTAGTAAAAAAAAATATTTGCTTTTTAAAAAGCACAAATATTTGACATGTTGTCCTTTGAACCAGTCTGACTTTAGCCCTAAGAGAAGTTGCTTTTTGTAACTATCATTATTATTCTATCATCATGGCCTAAACCTCTTTTATTTATGCTATACCTTGATTCAGATAAGAAAAGAACGTTGAGGAAAGGATAAAGGGATGAAAAGAATTCAAGTAAGCAAGTCTCACCTGCCCGACATCACTGTTTCTCAGAGCTCTGATCACTGTGGGGGCCACTTCAGTAATCGCTCCCTGGACACTGAGAAGCAGGAAGTGCTGGTGACCAGACAGGGCAAGTCATTTTACTGTGCCCGTCTCTTTGCAGATCATCAAAACTCCTGAGAGCGCTTCCTGTGAGTGACTTATGAAACCAAGAACCTTGAAGATGGGCTACTTTATCATAATTATTTTTCGAATTGGAGGAATAGTATCAACCATTTTTATTTGATTACTTGACGTACAATCAAACATAAAATCAGGGACCACTGAGATGGCTCATCGGGTCAAGGTACTTGCCGCTAAGCCTGGTGACCGGAGTCAGATGCCTGAAGCCCACAGGGTAGGAGAGAGCTAAGTCCTGAAGTTTGTCCTCTTACCTTCATGGTCTCAGTGTGGCACATGCATACCAAAGTACACGCACACACAGAGACACACGCACACACACACAGACACACGCACACACACAGACACACGCACACACACGCACACATACAAAATAAGTGTTTTTTAAAAAATAAAAAAATCAGATATTAGCAATAACTTTTCAAATAACTTAGAACTTTGGCTAAATATGCAGAGTGTGTCTAAGAACATGTCTCCTTTTCTCTAAGAGTGAGGTGCAACAGGCATTTTAAGTTACAAAAAACACAAAGCACAATTCTACAATCATTATTCAAGGAGTAATAATACCTTATCAGACCATAGTTACTATCCTCCCCATAAGAAGCATCTTGGTATACAAATATTTTAAATTCAGAGCATATGAAATACTTGCTGGGCACGATGTGGTGCACACCTTTGATCTCAGAACTCGGAAGGCAGAGGCAGGCAGATCTCTGAGTTTGAAGCCAGTCTAGTCTACAGAGTTCTAGACCAGTCAAAGAGTAAGATGCTGGTGCTGGGCAGTGGTGGCACATGCCTTTAATCCCAGCACTCGGGTGGCAGAGGCAGGTGGATCTCTGTGAGTTCAAGGTCAGCATGGTCTACAAGAGCTAGTTCCAGGACAGGCTCCAAAGCTACAGAGAAACCCTGTCTCAGAAAACCAAGTAAAAGAAAAAAAAAAGAGTAAGATGCTGTCCCTCACCCCAAAAAAACAGTTTATATGCAATAAGAGTCAGTAAGATGGCTCAGTGGGTAAAGATTTTTGCCATAGGAGCCTGGAGACCTGAGCTCAATCCCCAGGACCCATGAAATGTTCTTCATTTATTTGTTTTACTGTATTTTACTGTGGTAAAGTATACATGGCATAAAAATCATCAT